ATCTGCAATATCATCAGTAATTCCCACCAAGAATTTACGTACCAAAATAGTTAGAAAACACCAAAGAATTATGTACACCGGCAAAAGTTTTATAATTAACGTTATGAAAGTTTGTATTTGAAGTTGAACGATCACAGAGTTTCGTAATGTAAGACCACACACGGCGTTTTAGCTGAACGGAGGTATAATTTATTGTCACCGTCAAACCTTGGTGAAAAATGTACAGGAATACAAATGGTTTTTTATAAGTCTATGTGATTGTTTAAAAAGCCAATCGATTAAGGTGTATGAGGTTTTCAAATCCTGCAATAATCCATTAAGAATTACGAACAATGGTTTTAAATTAAAAAAAAAAAAAAACATATTGGACTGACTACATAATGCGCTTTATGGCAAATCTCCGTTTGTACTTCGTGGGTTCGCACTGAATAATATTAATAAATAATACAATAATAAATAATAATAAGTTCAAATACATGGAAATATTTAGTCGTGTAAGTTAAATTACATCTGATATACAAATAAATAAAGCGGTGTGATTAAATACATTTTATATTTCATTAGTGCTACAGGTACTAATAAGTAGAGCGTGGATTAATATTATCTTAAAATAGACAAAATATGCAAAAATATGCTTTTTTTATCAATTAATTTTTTTAACATCAAAATTAATAAATTTAATTAATAAATAATAATTAATAAAATTAATAAATTAATAATTTATGAATAATAACATTATTAAAATAATAGTTAATAAACACTATATTTTTAAAACTTTGTTTTTAATGTTAAATTTATAAACAAAATAACACATAAGTTAAAATAATAAATAAAATAACAATATTTTGTTAAGATAAATTAGTATTCACCCTTTTAATTGATACACCTTAATAAATAATAACTGTGTAGTAGTCTTTAATGATTATCGATAGAAATATATCTAAAAAAAAAAAATAGTAACTTTATTAACCAGTCTTATGATTTTTCTTAAATATATAACCCTAAATATTGAAAAATGGGCATTAACATAATTCATATATCACGCATGAAACAATTTATTACAATGTAAAATAAAAATTCAACTATTACAAAATACTATAAAATTGATATTTGTTAATTTTAAATTTTAATAGACTTCGAATATAAAATTATAACTTGTTAACACTGGATGAAAACGGGCGATTGTAAACTCCGCCAGAATATTCCGTTAAGATAAAAAAGTAATAAAAGATCTAAAGTAAACTCCACCAGTTTTTTTTTTGTGTTTTGTCTGTAAATCCTTTCATAGTCATCTAAGAAATTAATTTTATAAAAGTTAACCGAATGTTCATATTTTTAGTAATGTTCTTATCGAATTTCAAACCCATACTTAAATACTAATTGGCGTATCTCAAGTAAATTAATTAAAAAATTCGAAATAAAAAAAAAATAACAGTATTACAGGATGCTATAAATAGGTGCACATGGAGTAATACAAGACTTAGAATATTTACAAATTGTATCACATTATTTTAGTTTCCATACATGACATAACTATATCTTTTTGGATTATTAGGTATGACCATTATTTATTATGATTTTTTTACTATGATTTAAATATTTAATGTGAACGATATGATATGATATTATATTATATTATAATTTTTTTTGAATATATTCCCTTAACATCAAAATATGCACTTATATGCAAAATACAATTTTGTATTCAGATTCTTTGTACTATGAATTGTTGACACATCTTACTCTCATAGTTATGCATACAACTAATAAAAAATATATTTTTACATAGAAATCCGCGCTCTACTAATAAGCAATAACAAAAATTGAGATAATTTGTATTATAGATTATAGCATACTGTATTGTATACTTTTTATAATTATTTAAATATTAATTTATATTAATTTTTTTTTTCAAAACCAAAGCTATTATACTATATATGTTATAAATTACGTTAGGATAAAACTAGGCATGTTTTGTTCATTTCCATTTGACACATTTACATTTTTTCTATTAACCATTCGAAACGAATATATATCTACGTCTTATCTTTGAAGATAGTGTCATACTCTAATATTATTTTTAGTTTGCTATGAGTTACTCATTATTTCATTTTATTGAAATCCTCTAAATTAAAGTTGCATAAAAATTGTTATTTGCTAAAAAAAAATCAGTATTATTGGTGTGCTTTTTTACCTACTCTTGATGGATGAGTAAATTTTTACATACGAAAAAGCTACAATTTTGTAAGTGACAATATTATTCAAATACTAAAATGAGGCAATCCAAGTGCAATTTAAATAAAAATATTTTAATTTGACAATCACTTACAATCTATTAATTTTGTTATAAATTTAAATTAGTTTAGTATATAAAAGTCATGAAGTTTAATAAAGTTAATGATAATTAGTAATTTTATAACGTTCAAAATCTATTAATCGGATAAACTTTAAAATTGCTTTATTCTTCTTTTCAAGTTTAAGTACTATCACATAAAAATAGTTAGTTAGCTATAATAGTATTGATTTTTTTCAAATTAATTTTGGATTTATTATATTTTAATAATTACATGATTTGTAATTTTCCATTTATATCTCACCAACTAGAATAAATTTTAAGGTTCTTGTTTGTGAAGCATAAATTCTAAACGTTCATCATTAAAATAATGTTCAGTTTGCACTACGAGTGACATATTTTGTGTGTTGAATTCAAATCTTAAATACATGTTATATTATATACGTACTACAGTTTTCTAGCAGTAGGTAACTATAGTGGTACATATTGAGGTCAAATAGGCCACTGCGAGAGACTTAGTAGAATCCGATAAAGGTTTTAAGGATTAATATGAGATGATAGAAAACTTTCTATATTTATTTATTAATTTTTTTTTTTTTGAGCATGTCAAAGTTCTAACATTCTCAGTCGATTGGGAAATATTGTATCATTCTTGCTTGTTATTGGTGACCGAGTATGTACTGCTATTACATACAATACTGTATAATACTTACAATTGTATCTTTTAAATTTTGAACCTATAATATTTTATAACTGATATTTTATTATGAGCACTTATAAGTGCATGTAAATTGAAATGTTTAAAATTTTAGTAATTTCGATAATTTTCTACAGTTCTTAAACACTTTTATATGCAATAAATTGCAAATTTCAATGATTTTGACGATTCACCCATTGTACATTGCAATTAATTTATCAATGACGTCACGAATTACTATTTACACGAAATGTATGAGACATAACCCCCTCCTGGTCTTCCACGACCTTCCTGTTTAAATACATTAGATTTTTTTCATAAAACGATAAACTTGTATGTGCAATACACATTGCGTATAGTTAAAGGATACATCAAACTTAATCCACTACTTTTTAACGCTCTTGAAACGAATTTCAGATATTAATAATTATATGTAATATGTGTTTAATAGAACAAATAATGACGATTAAACTATTTTATTATTTGAATATAATTATTGTGCAAAATGATCTTATATTTATTCAATTATACATACATCACTTTAATTTGTATGGTTAGATGTAACAATGGATTATTATATAAGTAAAATTGCGTTGATTAACAACTAGAAATTACCATTGTTATAATCTAAACCATTAATTTTTTGAATGTATTCTAGAAAATACATAGGTTACAATATACGAAATCATATTAGTATTCCGCCTCAGTACTGATAAGTGTACACATCTGTAACTCATGTTAAATTGTATATTTTGTCGTTTTAAATTACAGCAAACGGTGACATATCTGGAAAAAAAAAATAATCCGCAAACTTAAACAACGGGTTCGTAAAATTTTTACGTTCTTCTCGTTGGCTGTCCCGCATTCACAGCCATGCAGTAATAATAATTAGAAGAAAAAAAACAAATATTCCCTAAAGTCTTATTTTTTACGACCCTAAATAATATTTTATTGACGTTCATTCGTTCAACAATTTGCCGGTACGGGCTACATGCGGGACATCATGACGATAACATATACAGTTTTAAAAAAATAAACACGCTACACAGCCGCCACCTATCCTCGAATCGTGGTAAAACAGTTGACCACCGAATTTATTCTTAATAAAACATTCGCATAAAAAATTGAAAAAATTCAAATCGATCACTGAAGTATAAAACGCGTAATGTTTCAATAAAATGCCCATCGATGCGTTCAAGGATTCGTCTAGTTCGGTCACGTTTCGCATTCGACTGACCCGTAATCAAAACGCCAGTCACACGTTGATTTCAGTATCTATTATGCACGTGCTTTACAAGTTCTTTTACGGGTATTTGCAATAGTTCATGCGAAAAACAATCGTGTATCAATGTCATGTATCAAACGTATCAAATGTATCGAGCCGTTACGCGTGCAATTATCGCAAAGGAATGTAAAACACGTAGAATAGTTTATTCCCAGACAAACTAAGGGTCGATGAATATTTCAAAGTTATATTTACGGACCGTCGGCAAATAGTTTTGAATTTAAACACATACACACACACTGCCGCAGCGTTCGGAGAATGTTGTAGCAGAATAGTAAATATGTAATGCTATCGATAGTATCTTCCGTAGTATAGTCGTCGGGATAGAACGAAAACATGGTGGGATGAGCTGTGCGGCGGTTCAGGTGACGAGATTCGACGCGATACGGAGAGGCCGCTACGATGACGGTTGGCTTTACGTCGGGCGGACGGTGACGCGTGCCGGAGAAACCCATGAGCGAAAAGAATTTCGGCGAAACGGTCGAAGCAGCAAAATGAAATGCGCGACGGCCGCGTCGCGACCGAGGCGTACGCTCGAATAGAATTGAGTTCGGAGTTCGCGGTGGCGGCTGCCGTGGGTTCGGCGACCGTCGTCCGCCGTCGGCCCCGGTCGCTTTTAACGGTCTTCGGCGCGCGCGGTCCGGTTGTACCCGTCGGCTACGGTGGCGGCGGTGGCGGTGGCAACACCACCACCGCTCCGCTGTCGATGTACCGCGGACCGAATGGGCACACCGCCACTACGTTCAGTCGGCATTTTGACATCGCCTGTGTTCAGCGTGTGTACGTCACTCTGATTTTCCGTCGTCCGTGTTCGGTGCGTGTTTTTTATTTTAATTTTTTTTTTTTTTACCGTGCGATCGCGTGCCCGGCTCGTCCGTACCGTTTTGTGTTCCGCCGCGTGTTATTCAATACATCCGATAGGTCCGCGTGCGACCGTTTATTTTCGCGTTTTCCACGTAAACATTGAGTTCCGCACACGCGATCACATACCGGACCGGGGCTGAGCTTCGTCATTGCGCGTCATGTCGTCCGGTTTCTCGTAGCCGTTTTAGGAGATTACACGAGTCTCCTGCTGCCTCTTGCCATCCGAGGTACGTCGTCGATCTCACGTCGCGCGAGTGTGCGCTGCATCGGGGTAGTCGTGCTTGCGTACGATGCGCCGAAATAGTGGCCGGCCGCCGCCGCCGACATTTGCGACGCGATGCAGCTCGTCCGTACGGAAGACGTTGCTGCTGCTGTGTCTGATGCTAATGCCGTTCGCGCTTGTAGCCGCCGTCGAACCGTCGTCGCCGGACGATCTACAACAACAAACAGGTAACGAGAGAGATTTTTAACGCGCCATAACCAGCAACACTGTCTTGGATCGTCGATGGATGCGTGTGTGTGTGTGTATGTGTGTGCGCGTGTACATGTAAGTACACGACGACGACGACAACCGGTTTTCTGTGCGTGTCTACCTGCTCTTTGTTCGCGCATAACATGAGTGACGGTGGAGGCGAAAGGGGGTTTCTTTCTCCGCTCTCCCCCTTTCCCGCTCCGTACCTCCACACACGTCGTCGCCCGTCCATCCGTGTATAATAACAATTATTATTATTCCCCGTGTGCCGTCGCTGCAGCAGGTGTTCACCACGAAAAACCACCGGGTGCTGCTGCTGCTGCTGTTGCTGTTGCTGCCGCGGTGCTCTGTGGTTGGATAGGTCGACGACAAAAGATGCAGAACGCGCGCTGTCGTTTCTTTTCTGTTTTTAATTTTATTTTCTACCTTTTTATTCCGTTCTACGCTTGTATATCATTTTTCTGTTTCCACTCATCCCCTGTTCGCCCGCTTAACCGAATTGATAATACCTGTTCCGCGGTCTACGGGTAAAAAAAATTATACATCATCCGAATGACCCACATGTACCATCTAGAATATTTGTACGCAGGAAATAACGCGCGTTCCGTAGTAACACTAACACACATACATACGTAACCAGAAATACTTTGAATCGAAGTTTTTTAATTTTGATTAGAGATTTGTTTTCACGCCCGGGCGAACGAACGGTTTTCTTCTTCGCAGACCTTTTTTTTTTGGAGACTGGATCTATTATTTTATTTTCAAGCTCGTTTATTTATTTTCCTTTAATATGCTCTGCAGTTCTGTGTAAATTTTAGTTAAACGATTAACAATTACATATATTTCTGAAGTATTACGGTTTCTACAAAGTGTTTCTCTCACTCCCGTGCGGTCGATTTTATGAAGACTGAAAAAACTCGGCGTTAACTAACAGTTTACACCGGTTATTTTTATTAAAATGTCTCTAATTAATATAATAGTATAATAGTCTTATATTAATATAATATAGGTATTAAATATTATTTTGTTGAAAACTTTTTCTGTGTCCGAGTGAAAAATTAAAATTCCGAATTTTTCATCATGTATTAGTTTTATTTAAAAGGAAAAACCTTTTCAAAAAATGAGAAAAAATGTCGGAATCGAATTCATAGGCATTATGGAATTCATTTCTGTTCAAAATATTTCGAATACCTTTATCTCGTTGAATACAATTTGTAAGTATTTTAAGTATGTTTGTGTGAAGGTGTGCACATTACTAACAGGTACGATATAGGTTAGTATTGTTGTTGCACGCATACCCTCGGAATCATTCCCATTTCATGGAACACGTTTTCATCGGAACCCACGTTTCTTTTGATTGCTTGCTTGCAACGGTTTTCGACTACAGAGTGAACAATATCGTACAGAACTTTTAAATTTGATTGTTTTGTATAAGGGTTTATCTAATTTCTTTCGTGTCATAAGGAATGTACTGAGTAGCCAAATTAAATTTATTCTTGGGGTACGTCTAAAAATTATTTTTAAACGTTGCCAAGTATTAAAAAATTATTTTATTTGTCAAACCAAATTGTTCGTTATTTATAACGGTAGAAACCTTTTTTTTTTAATTACATTTGGATCTAATTAATACTATTGTTTGTATTAAATTTAGTATTTGAATAATTAACTACACTAACTTCTCACCTAGGAAGAGTAATTAAGTTATTTAGGAAATTAATATGGTATCTTAAGACTAAAGACTATCATATTTAGTTATTTTTGTTTTATTAAACAATGTTATTAATTTTCTTAGTATTCTTAATTAGGTAATCGGGTGAAACTAAATAAAAAAAAATCGAAAATTCTTTAAACTATTACATTTATAGTTATAGAAAAACAATAACAGATAGTATACGATAGACTTACATAAACTTTTCCGAGTGTACTAATCATAGCCAAACGGATAATGTTTTCATCAATGAGTCCATCCTTGCCTTTCTCAGGCAAATATGGCTAACATGACTTGAGAACATGATTTATTCATCCTTGTCTATTAAAGGCGAAAAAATTTAATTTTTTTATTATTTTAACAACGTAACGATCTAATTTTATTATTACTAAAAAGCTTTATAATTTGTTGTTGAATTTTGTCATCAAAGCAGTGGAAAGATTCATCACGATGAAATAAAATAGCCTTTTTAAATTTTACAAATAATTGTCGTTTTGCAGTTCCTTTACTATTCAGTCAATACCCTGTTCATACGTTATTGTTGAGTAGTTTTTCAGAGTTTACGCTTAAACGTGAAATGTTTAAGTGTTCGTACTTGCTTTATACCAGTGACGTAGCCAAGTAGAGGGGGGCTATAGCTCCCTTAGTGTTTATGTGTATATACTAAATTAGTATATTACTATTTGATATTTAAATATTTTATAACTTTGGTATTAACTAAATGTTGACAAATAACGGGTTTTTATCATTGTCAAATACATAAGCGTATTACTTCTACTGAGATTACTACTATTTTTTTGGCATTTATCGTAAACGTGTTTGGTGATTCTTGTTTTTAACATACATTTTATAATCACTATAGTTTTTATATCATGTTACGTCGTGGCGATGCTACCATAGCTGATCACCGTTAATTTATAAGTATTATTCATTTTATTTTAATAAATATTATTAAACATTTGAATATGTTAGAAATACATATACATACATATTTTTAAATTTGGTGATGGGGAGGGGTTATGAGTGAACTCTCACAGCCTTTCTTACCTAACCTGCCCAAAAAAGTTTTTAGCCCCTTCAATTTAAAAATTTTGGATACGCCACTGCCTAAAGTTGCCATAAATTTATAAGGTGAAACCCGGATAAAATAAACTCATTATTGAGTAATATACTTTTTATATAACTTAATATATTGAGTGCATTATAAATGTCCGGCAATATAATATTTTAAAACCCGTTTTAAAATATTTATATCAAATAAAATATATGATATATATAGGTATATGTGTAAATTCTATCTCTTTATTTAAGTTTATCTGTAAATCTATTACAATTAAAATTGTATTTTAAAATAAAATCGTTAAAATTAAAAATTAAATAATTCTAAATTTCCTCTAAACATCTAAGCCGAAACATATAGACGTCTCATTTACATTTTTCGTGACAGGAAGTCCAAAACCGGTGTCAATCTCGTTTTTCCGGGACGTATGTCAATCGTACCGTTGCCTTATAGTAATATCATTGTTGGTTTACATTTAGAAAGAATAAATGAAAACCACGTAGAAATCATAAGCTTATTATTAAAATTATTAAATTATTATTTAAATATAAAATATTTAGCTTATTTAAACATTTTTAAAACGTATACCATTTTAATTTCGTATAAACCACTATATTAGAATAATATTATAAGAAAGTTTAAAATTTATTCCTTAATCGTCATTAAATGTTATTATTATGACTATATGAGTTGGGTGAACTGTTGTCTTTGGTTTGTGTCAACAAGTGTCTTGAAGCGATAACGAATTCTTGTTATTATTGCATCATCATTGATAAAATGAATTTCCATTCTTCTTCTCATAATAAAATATAAATATGTGTATATAATTATATAACTATGACTCACTCATTTGTCATCTCGTTTGAATATTAATAATAAAATAATTTATTTATATAGGTACTTGGTATCCTGGTTACAAATCTGTCTTAACATGTTATAGAATTTTATGTATTGATTTCTTTAATGATTTAAATGTATACTTCTAGAAATAAAATCAATCTTATACAAACATTAAAATAGTTTAATTTTTTTTATATGTTTTAGTTTCATAAAAAAATTAAAAAAATGTTTGAATGCAGTATATACTGCTAAATGGATTTGTGTATAGTTTTTGTGTTGATAATAAAATCTTCATATGACTAGGAAAATCTTTTTGTATTTGAATTTACATAGGTACGGATTGACTATCATTATTAGTTTCGTAAATATTAGTATTATGTGTAATAAAAATTGCTATGTTAATTTGATAACTGGATGATTTATAAAGATGGATCAGAAAATAGTTACTTATTATAAACTATTTAATGTTCAATTTGTCGATTTACATGGTTAGATGATATATAGGTTGCTTAAAAAAAAAAAAAAAAACGCAAGATTTAAATCTGGTATAAATTAAATTTATATGTTTTATAAAAACATGACAAATATATCATTATCTTCAAAGTTAAAGTTTAATAGTGAAAAACAATATCGGGCATATGATCCTACAGGCGATTATTCTTTCCGTAAAATTTACCATCACTGGATAACGCATTACCTCATCAAGTTTGTCGAGAATACGACGAATTTCTTGCTTAAGTTACAGGAAATTTCGAACTTTATTCTGGTAAACTCGTGACTTAGTGTATCCCTATAAGAAAAAAACAACACGACGTCAAATCACAAGATCGAGGTGGGTAGCTTTGGTGTCCATGCGACGTGATTAGTCTGTCCGGGAATTTCTCCCGCAGCTGAGGGATTGTTTCTCTTGAAGTGTAACAAGTTGTGCCGTCTTGTTGTAACCATACAGGAATACCTATTGAGCTCAATAATTTTCGTTGTCCTCATTTGGACTGAATGAACATTAAAAATGTATGGTTTCAACTTGTCACATTAATAATTATCATTTAGTATGGATTTACTAGTTAATTGAAAATAAATTCATTCCCTTTAAACCTATATTCTTAAATATTAATATTTTTTTTAAAGCTGTGAAATTATCGTACTCTTTTTTATACAATTTGTTTTGCTGCTTTCGAAAAAAGTATAATAAATAAATAGTACCTTTTATGATATCTGATGTCTTTTTTGCCTCAAAAATATACAGATTTAATAATTGTATTCTTTAGTTTTTAACCAAATATTTTTTTTTCAATTTATAGAGAGGTACCTACATTCTCCAGCTGTATTAAACTTTGTTTTTCACTATTTTTTTTACTTACTTTTTCTCT